ACATCCTGACTCTTTTATTGTAATCAAAGTTATGTTGTAATTGTCTGGTAATGAACTTGAAGGTGAAGCTTGAACACATGGTGCTTATTGTCATGGATTACTTTACTTTTAAGGGCTTCCTGAGGGAAGTGCTGAGTTTTCTGTCAGATGCTATAAAAAAGCTGCTTTGGGATGCCAATAATTTTCTAAATATACTGAAATGAATTCAAACCAAAAGCTGCCTCGTCTTTAGAATTAAAGAAAGACCATAACTCTTCTCCAACATAAAAAATTGATTTTAATTTATATTATTAATTTTATTATCTTTTATCTTTGCTACTGTAATTCTCGCTAAGATAAAAGCAGTTACAATATTCTATTTCCAGTTCTGTTTAATGACTGGTTGTGGTTTTCCAAGTTTAAAATATCAGACAGATTTGTGCTCCATCTACAAGTTCTCCAGACTTTCCTCCCACACAAAACATGTTCCAAAAACCGTTAGCTTTCCAGGCAAAGGTGTATTAGTTGTATTTTATAATTAAAAATATGCATTGCACAACTTTAGTTTCACTGCTTCCAACTCATTTCTGCTTTAACTTCCAGCTCACACAGACTTGATCTTTGGCAGCTAGTTACTGGACATCAGGCATGTTTGAAAAACAGTTGCAGGGCTGGCAACTCTGAATGTCTCAGATGCCAACTTGATCTATTTCAATATCACAAAATTCAAATGGCATGGCAGTGCGATGTGCGATGTGGTGGCAAAAAGTTGCTGCTTGCTGTAAACAACTCGCCTGAACCTCCTTTAAAAAGTCGACAAGTCTGACAACAAACCACTTCCTGGTAGATCCGAGTGAGGGAGACGGCTGTCCTGTCTGCAGATTATCAACAGCCTAATACGAGTTGGGTTTTGTAATGTCACTGGTAATTATGTGCCTCCTGAATCCGGTGAATAATCTGTGCGACAGGCTGGAAAACACTTTGTGTAAATGAGGAGCTTCGTTTATTAAAAGTGAGGTAGTGAGGTTTTAACTCCAGTGCTGAAAGTCTCTCCTGTTCTTGTCGTTAAGGAATTATTGTCATATTCATAAAAATGTTATGGTAAGTTTGTGGTTGCAGGTGTATCAGTTGGAGAATTTTCTAAGGTGCTTTGATTCCAGGTACAGATCTAGAGGAATATTCATGGGATGGCATGGAGGGGTGGCAGAAATATATGCTGATTTAATTGCAAACAATCACATATATCTATATTTGCTTGGAAAAGCCCTAAATGAAGATATTTGAACTCAAAAACATTACATTATTGTGGCACATAACATCTAAACAGAAATATCTAAAGGTGGCATTAGAAATTAACACATTTTCAATTTTTTTCTCATTGATCCTAAGCCTATCACTTAGTCTACTGTAACAGATCATTAAATTAATTCCTGTTTTTTAACATGTTATTTTAAATTCAAATTAATGTGTTAAATTTGACAGCACTGGACATCAAACTGGAGTGGCCAGGCATTTTTTAGGTGTGGCCGCTGCCCCAAACCTCTAGATCTGCCCCAGTTTGATTCACTTCCTTGTGAGATATTTATATTGAAACATCCAAAGTCAGTCTCTGCCACACATTTGCCCCAGTTTCTGCTTTATCTCCTCACTCCCTCTCATCTTTCGACAGTCTTACACTGTTTGATGATAATAGTCCTGATAATTACATTATGATAGTGATTGTCTAAGTGAATTTATTGTGACATATAAACCTTGTGAACCTTATAAAGAAGCACAGCATATATTTTGTGACTGTATTCAAACAGCCGTGGGGGCTGCAGATCACCTAGACCTATTTTATAAACATAAAAATCAAACTCATTTTGAAGCAGCAATACAAGCTGCTATCATCCTCTCTCCTCTCAACATGCTCTATGTGCTAGACAGTTGCTATTCCCAGAGCCAGTTTCCAGGCATGTGGTATTACTGTTCCTGTGCTCTTCCTCAGGAAATCAATTCATATAGTACAGTTATTATAGGTCCATTTGTTAGGACATATAAAGCTCAATATGGTTTGAAAATGAATCCACTTAATGATGATTATTTTCTAGCTTTTAGAAGAATAGCACAAACAGCAGCATGATGGGACTGCAGTCATATAAGTATTTTCTCTGATTCAGGGTGCTAGGCTAGTATTTCACCAGCATGCACATTTATTTTTGCTGACAGATTCAATACTGGTTTGTCCCCTTGCTGTTCACTGCATTGCCAGAGTGTGAATGTGTATGTTCGTGCTTAACCTTGGATGTTTATGAGGTTGTTTTCCCTATTATTGAATTTGTTTGCTAGGCTTGCTGGTACACAGACATCATATTTCTTTTTATCAGCATTTAACTTTTTTTTTAATTAGTTCTAGATATGTTGACATTCTCATATTAGTGCAGACGTTTGTAGAAGTGTTCTCGCTGCAGTGCCACCCTGTTGTGCTTCACTAAACTTGGTTACCTTACTGGTGACGTCAACGCTGTTTGTGTCACCTCCTTGCCTTTCTGTGTTTTCTCCTCGTATTCCACATTCACCTCTCTTTCTTCTCATTCTACTCATCTTTAATGTTTATAATATTAATTGTCTTCTCTTCCTCTCTCCTCTCCTCACCTTCTCTCCGACACCCTTGTCATTTTTCCACACTCTTCCTCTTCCTTCCATCCTTTTTTTTAACCTGTTCCTCTAACAGTCTCCTCCTCTCCCCTTTCTCTCTTTTAGGAGCTGCTGTTCAGCGTATGTGCCCTTAATGTCATCTCCACCATTGTGTGTGCTCTAGCCACTGCCATGTGCTGTATGCAGATGGTCTCAACTGATGTGCTGCAGATGGTGAGTGTGATGGAAGACCAGATGACAACAATAGCTGACTTTATTTTCTTTTTTTTCCATGACCACCCTGCGTTTAAAGAATAAAACCATTTTTATAGTCTGAAGATCACTATCATCAGGTTAGATAAATGCATGCAGCTCAGGAATGATGTGCTAACCTTTATCTGTTTAAAGATAGTGGAGAGTAATGTTTGCAGTTTTGGTTGAATCACCCTGCTTGGTAAATACAAGTTAACGTAAACAAGCACAGTGAAGGTCAATTGCCACAGGACCTCTTTCAGTTTTTCTGCTTCTCAAAAATATGTTGGATTTGAAGAAAACAGCTTAATATCTCACAGGATTTTTTCCTCAAAGGTACACCGTCCTCAGTATGACCCTCTTTTGTCTTTTTATGTGGAACAATGGAACTATTACCAACAGCTAAATGCTTTTAGTCATGAGGGAAATTAGCATGGCCAAGCTTCCTTTGTGTTTCATACCAACAATAGTTATTTCATGCCTTTAAACAACTGGAAAGGTATAGAGCAACACTGCCAACATGATACCAAATGTGAAATAGCTTTGCAGCAATATTTGATGCAAGAACCATTTGCACATTTTATGGACTATGCTGTAAATTTTGTGCTTGCTGAAACGAGTCTGGATATTAAAACGAGTGCTCTGGGCAAGATGTGAAGCTTGGTTTGATAATAGGTTGAAGTGGCACGAAATCAACAGTGATCTCACAGTCATATAGTAGCCAGTAAAATAAATTAAGTTGAACTCACAGTACAAAGCACTGACATTACATTAGTCTCTTCTCCATAGAGTCACAAGTCTACATATGTAGATCATTATGTAAATGAGAACTGACCAAATGGCTGCTGCAAATTTATGAATTTTGACTTTTCTCAGTTCTGTGGAACTTTTTAGCCTCTTTAAGCTCATTGTTTTGGTTTTCTGGCCCACAACTTTCCGACACTGAACAGCAGACGCACAAAGTTAGCAACTAGCTGGTAAACATAGCTGAGCATTTATCTGTTAAAGAGCCATGTATTTTCCTCAGGAATTGGTAGAGACAAAAACAAAGCTAGAAGGAGAGTGGATATTAGACTACATTCACCAGTGGTCAGAAACTCTAAACTGATGATAATGTTGCTCCACGTCTGCAGGATGTTTAAAAGGGGGACACATCAACTTCACAAGACGATTTTATGTCAGTGTTGTGTTTACATCCAGTTTCCACTGCCCCCAGTTGGCAAAAACTCAGTTAATGCGTGTTCAAACAGTGATAACTACATAGATGAATACTTTACTTGATCCCTGGGACAGGACCATAGAAATCAGGTTATTACTCTTTTATATGTGACTATTTAAGAAGACACATACAGATGATTAAGAAGGCAAAAATAAATAAATTTGAAGCTGTTTGAATTAAAACTGAAATATTATTCTCCTGTTGAAATAAGGACATAATTCACAGTGGTCCCTGCTTCAGGGACTTTTTTATATTTACTTAAGATAGAAAATAAGCTGAAATAGAAGAAGTCAAATCAAACTGTAGAATAAATAAAAGGACACAAGCACTCTGTCTTATATCCAACACTCTCACAGAGTTTCCCAGAGTGGCCTCGTTTTCCATTTACCACAAGAGGTGTTAACCTTTTATTTAGCGCAGTAAATTTAGCCAAGTCAATAGCAGCAGTGGCAGCCTGGAGATTAGAAAAGAGGGCTGGCTGTGACTGGAAAGTTGTCCCACTTAGAAAAGTCTGAGAGAGGAAAGTAAATGAGCAGCACTTTCAGGACTGCTGGTTGAGGTGCCCCTGAGCAAGGCACTTGACTTGCAGTTGCTACAGTGAAGCTTGTTCAGTGACCAACAGCACAACAGGGAATACATGTAACTGCTTAAAATAACAGCGGAGTGGTGCTGTGAAAAGACACATTTGCTCAGTCATGTCTCCCTGGATACATTATGGTCTAAAATAATGACTACACAAATAAGTACCATGTGTAATAAAGGCCTGATAATGGTTCTTTTTATGCTGTGTTTCAGTTTATGCCGCACAGAGCGCGAGCTCTAAATGCTGACTGTATGACCCCCCATGGAACCATCCTCCACCAAACTTTGGACTTTGATGAGTTTATTCCTCCCATCCCCCCTCCACCATATTACCCCCCAGAGTATACCTGCACCCCCTCAATGGATGGACAGAGGTGAGAGGCAATACACTACTCATCACCTTCACATCTTTTCTCAGTGCTAACACAAAGAACTCCCCAAACTCTGGTAACAATGTATCTTCTGGGATATGTGGGTACTTTCAGGGAAAGCAAAATAAAAACTCTAATTTGCTAATTTCTTAACAAATATAGCCGAATTACAAGACGTTGTAGTTACACACAACAGTCTACTTGTAAATTAGAATGTAATGTAAATGTATAAATCCCTTTAAGCCCAAAATACTTTGGCAATTACATTTTCAGTGATACTTTATTGATTCCCTCACTCAGTGGAAAAGACACAACTTTTGTTGTTATTGCTTAATATAAGAAAAGTATAAAATCCATCTATATATTCTACCATGGTGGAAATGAACACTAAGTGTAGTGCAATCCTGAAAATCATATTTGTTATATTAAGCACAGTTAAGAGAATATAAGTTACTGATTGCAGTGGGAATAAATGCGTTCTTGCCAAAGGCAACATGAAGCACCACCAAGAGGGAACCAATTCAAATTGGATATCAAAGTGCTGAATGTTCTCATTAAAATAAGAGATTTTTATTGAAAAGGCCTATCTCAACATTTTTTGCAATATTTATTGTACGTAAAATTCTGCTGGTTGCTGCAAGTGTTTAGTATTCCAGAATGCTGTACCTGGCTCAGTGCCCTCTCCTTGAACTGCGTTCATATCTAGAAATATAATAGGAATAAGTGGAAACTTATAGTCATAGACTTGAACAAAATAGCACACATATATTAAGGATTCTCCTAATACATAATTTTTGGATTCTATAACTCCCTACCTGCCCCTCCACAGACACCTGAAATACACCAGATACTGGAGGTCTATATGTGAAGAAAAGTGTTTATAAACTTATTAGAAAAATTGATCATAGGGTCAGGACCTGGAGAGACATTTTTGAGGACACAAAGCCCCCATGAGGACACACACCAAAGAAAAGAAAATAAACTTTTACAATGGGAGTAACTGAACGGATGAGGACTAACATCTCTTTGCTGGTATGGCACAGCACTGTTGAAAACTGCTCTAACATTTTTATGTGAATAATTGACCACCTCAGAATCTTCTATTAGATAGTGAATCTACAGACGCCAAAGCAACATTTGCATCCAAAGACCAATCCAAATCCATCACAGTATGTAGCAGTGGCATGGCTCATTGTTTACTATCTCACTGTGTCTATCACATGTGGTATTATCGTCCATGGTCAGCTCAGAGCTTTTCTCTCCGTTAAGCAGCTGTGACATCCGTGATTCTCAGCTGTCGTGAAAGATCGTTTGACCCCCTCCCTCATCACTCCCTCCATTTTCTTGCCAGAGAGAGCGCTGCTGATTTAGTCATTTGGCAGGAAGCCACATCTGTTTGTCAATTATGCCATAAATATATACAAGGCAGAGGAAGCATTTATGGTGTCCCTGCCCAGGGCCAGGGATGTGTCATGACATCATCATGCCTTGGATGATTGGTGGAAACACTCAGGTTGTATTTCATGCTCCGCCACTTTGGGGAGAATGGGGTTGTAATTAAAAGATATGACTGCACGCATGGCTGCTCGTGCTTAATTGGCACCATACGAAACGGTAGTGCACATAGAAAAACACACTACCTGTATATATTGTGTTGGGACAGAGGATATTTTTCATCCTTTTCTCTGTTTTAGCAAAATATATACTGTAATTTTGACTAAGAGAGGATGCATATTCAGACTTTCTGTGCCAGTTTCATGCACACTCTGCACTGTGTGACTGGCTCGGTGGACTCTCCACTCTTTGTATTCCAATTATTTGAGATACGATTTGGACTTGGTTTATTGTTTGGTTGAATCTCTGCTGTTATGCCCCTGACAGAGGCCTGCACCTGGACTTTCCCCACTCTCCGTTCAGTGCCATCTATGGGGTGCCAATCAACAGCCCAGGAACACTGTACCCAACGGACCTGCCTCCTCCCTATGAGTCTGTAGTGGGGCAGACCCCTGCCAGCCAGGTGAGAGGCATCATGTGGCTCTGCTGTTAAAACAACACTGTCTCCAGAGGCCTTCTGTATGGGAAACTGGGTCTTGGACATGACATTAATTTCTTTGTTTCGAAAGAGAGCAGGTCAATCTTTTAACCTTAAACACACATAGATTACATATGTGCAGTAGCAGTAACAATATTACGAGTCTAGAGTCGTGCTAGCAGTTCTGTGAGACTGTACTTTGGCACATCACAACCTAAATTGCTAAAATCACCACCTTAGTTCAGCATGCTAAGATTGGCTAATTAACAGTAAAAACAAAGTATAGCTGAGGCTGATGGGGATGCCATTTGTTTTGCAGGTATTTAACAAACCAAAGTACTGGATACATTTTGATGAGATAAAAACAAGGGGATTTCAAGGTTAAGCTAACAGTTAAGATTAATTGTGAATATGATATTCTAGATCAGAGTTCATTTAACCAACCCTACTGATTTATCAGATGTTCCTCTCTAAATGGTTCTATGTATTTGTATGTACATTTATTTTTTTGGTCAAAATTGTATTGCTACTGTCTTTATTTGTCTCTATTTTGGGATGTTGCCCGTCAAGTCTTTAAGAGAAAAATCACAACCAATTTAATCAGAGTATCATCTGACTCACTGAAGCTGTCTCCCTTGACTTCATTGAACTGATCAGAGCTTTTTTCAGTCTGAGACTTTGCTGCATCTCATTGTTCACAGCCAAAAATAACTGTATAATGTGAAAGTAAATCCTTTTATCTTCCATTATACTCTGAGCATCATTTAACACCTTTGAATCCATTATTTCCATTATACATGTTCAATCCATAGTCCTCTTCGCATCCATTTTGAACAGTGTCCTTCAAATACAAATCAGCAGAGGGTTTTCTCACCTTCAATAGATTAGGTATTCTGTAAATAACCAATGGAAACAGGCTGTGATAGATCGCTTGTGTGAGAAAACAGTCACAAGGCAGAGGAAACTCAGCTGATGATTTCAGCTGAGCGCTTGATGTGTGTGTGATTGTTATATGAAACTATATATGTCATATACATTGAAAAGCATATTCGTAAGCCTAACCAAAGCTTCTTATTTAACTCTACACGTAGTTCTCTCCACTGGTACACCTGCCCTTTAAGCTAAGAAATGTCAGTTTGTGTGTTGTGGTCTTATAGAGCCCTCTACAGGCCAAACTGTGTTGTTGAAGGTTAGGTGCCTCACTGCTGCTTTTATGCAACACATCCAGTACATACAAAATATCCAGCATTAATCCATCTTCTTTAACCAGTCAGTTAACTTTATTCAAGCAGTGCTGTTATGTTGTCCACCTACTGTAATAATTTCCTCTTTACAGGTCACCACCAGCATAGAGCAACAGGCGACTGAATCCAGTCTGTGTGAGAGAAACACTACTGCGGGACTCAGCACTCAGGGTAAAGACAGCACTGCAGTGAACTCTACAGAGGATTGTCGAATGTCTTTGTCTACTAGTAGTCATGCTGATGATACTTTCCCCCCTATTTTCAGCATCCGTTGACAGCGCGTCACTAATGGTGTCCGAGGTGGCTGATCAGGACCAGACTTGCTCTTCAGAGGACTTGTGCTCCCTGGAGGTCCAGGGCTCTGACTCCTCTCCCTATGGCACGCCCCACACTGCCCCCATCGATGGAAGCTGCAACAGCCTGGAACTTTGTACACGCCATCGTGGGATGCCTAGCAGGGACAATCGCCCCAGTGATACAGGATACAGTGAGTCCTCACAGACCCAGGAGTCTCTTGAACGCTCTCCGGACTGGTCCTCAGAAAATTATAGCAATCTGGACCAGGAGGATTCCACGGATAACACACATCCATGTGAGGAACTCAGGGCTTCAATGCACATATGTGACGAGCTTGCATCAGCCAAACATTTACCAGAGGAGCCACCTAAAGCATCAACCCACTCCCTCATTAAAGCACGAATGATGAGCCGGAAGCTCACACTCCCTGTCATGCTACCCCCGCCACCACAGCCTTGCTCCCCCACCTCTGTGGCCTCCTCTGGTGGAACTTCAGCCATCAGCCCTTTGGCTCCTTCTCCTTCCCCTTCCCCTCCCAGCAGGCCCCGCGGTCCCAGGCTGTGCTTCAGTGTTTGGTCACCCTCCTCCACATCACAACCCCCCTCTACCTCAGCCCAAAGTGGCCACTCGCCTTCGGAGAGGCCACGGGGGCTCCGAGCAGCTCGGAGGTACCGCAAACTGGCACGCATCGTTCGCTCCACCAGTGACCCTATCTCCTGCTCCTCTACGACAGGAAGTGAGTGATGCAAGAATGTTATACTAAAGCTTAAAAACTCCATCTAAATATCACTAATTTTAGAGCTTAAACAATTTGTCAACTAAAATATTATTTTTTTCTTATTTTAAGCATAAAAGTCCCCAGAAATATTATATTTTTAAATAAAATTGTTGCTATTTTCTTACATTTATTTATAGATCTATTGGTTAAACAAAACAATAATCTGCAGATTAATTGATTATTAAATTAATAATTTGCCAGCACTACAGCCTTTCGTTGTCAATAAGCAATGATGGTAAGCTAAGTGCCTTCTTTGTTGGTCCACACTTAAGTTTCTCGTCTCCCTCTACAGGAGAAAATGGAAGTTGCGCCTCTGCGAATAACCCTGCTGCTGAAGACTCAACAAATACATCACCAGAACAAGGTAGCATCATAGAAACTGTGACTTCATGTAATGGTGGGACATCAACTGCTTAACAGTATTCATAGTTAGACCTTAAGGGTAAACTGTAAATCTGGCAGTATGGAGAGCAAAATGTATTACGTTATGGTTTAAGCAAATTCAAATGCTTCATGCCATAAATCTTTTAAAACCCCACTGGGCCCATTGAATTATCTGAAGAGAAAAAAAAACACAGTCACAGAACTGACAATACAAAGACAATTTTAGTTGAGCTGATTTTAAGAATGTGTTTTCATGTGATGTATCTTATTGTGTTTACACAATTCTTCTCTGTTTTATCTTTAGAGCCAACAGATGTGGTTGGAGCTAAACCCAGTCACACATCTGTTAGGAAGCAGCAAAAAGAGGGCAGGAAAGTTGACATCCACCTTAAACCACGAGCCCTGCACACACACTCCTCCCACGAACGTCCGCACTCCCTGGCTGACCTTAAGATGTACAAAGACACCAAAATACTGGTGGCCAAGTTCCTGGAGCATTCAAGCTGCAGTCTACCTCCTGAAGTCCAGCAGGTTGTCAACAACATCAAGTGTGTCATCAAGTCTGATGAGAAACACATGGAGGAGGCCATTTTTAGTGCCAATGTCATAGATCAGGTAACTGAATTAGACTAATGTCCAATGATAGTTTTATGCAAACCAGCAGTTTGTAGTGCTATTTCTGGTTTTATTGGTGAGTATCAGCATACAAGACTAAAAGTAGATTTTAGGCTAGCAGCCCTGTGAGACAGTAATGCTCATTACACACCAGGGAATAAACATGTGGGATGGATGCAAATGTAGTGACAACTTTGTTTATATAATATTACCATTAGCAGGGACAAAAGGGGTAAGGTCTTTACTGCATGTAATTTCTGTATATATATATATATAT